ATAGTATATGATTGCTAACAAACAATAAGAGAAAGAGACAGAATAATTAATTGTCAGATAAACAAAATATTTTATTCAATGGGCTAATATGGAGAAAACAAATACAATAATTGTGCCAACACAATTATTCTATATTTCAATAATACAAAACTTGAAAATAGTCTAATATTCATTAGGGTGCATGTCAACCCTAGAAATACTATAAAGATGGAAACATGATATAAAAATACGTGGAATAAATGAAATAATATTTTCCTACTAAAAACACATGGAAAGAATGAAAAAATATTTTCTCAAAAATCCAACCTTATTTGGGTAAAAAAAACCCAACATTGTTTTTTAGTACGTATATTATGTATGTTCTCTTTAAGCATTGTCTTGCAACAATTATTTTTCTTATTTTTTGCCTTAGAATATTTCGAGGGTGTTGTTAGTGCTCTTCTGATGCGCAAATTGGAGGAGAGTCACTGAGCTACGGCCGCACAGACCAACAGAGGAGCTGAGAGCCGCACTAGGAGCTTGGAAAGGCCATGTTCCTCANATAGTATATGATTGCTAACAAACAATAAGAGAAAGAGACAGAATAATTAATTGTCAGATAAACAAAATATTTTATTCAATGGGCTAATATGGAGAAAACAAATACAATAATTGTGCCAACACAATTATTCTATATTTCAATAATACAAAACTTGAAAATAGTCTAATATTCATTAGGGTGCATGTCAACCCTAGAAATACTACAAAGATGGAAACATGATATAAAAATACGTGGAATAAATGAAATAATATTTTCCTACTAAAAACACATGGAAAGAATGAAAAAATATTTTCTCAAAAATCCAACCTTATTTGGGTAAAAAAAAACCCAACATTGTTTTTTAGTACGTATTTTATGTATGTTCTCTTTAAGCATTGTCTTGCAACAATTATTTTTCTTATTTTTTGCCTTAGAATATTTCGAGGGTGTTGTTAGTGCACTTCTGATGCGCAAATTGGAGGAGAGTCACTTACTGAGCTACGGCCGCAAAGACCAACAGAGGAGCTGAGTGCCGCACAACGAGCTTGGAAAGGCCATGTTCCTCACCTCAATTAGTTGAGTATTGCAGCTCATGAACAAGCTTAAAAGGCGTAATCTCTAGCCTTCTTCATATCGTTCGAATCGTGATTTTGCACTGTAATCATTGATAAATTATATATCCTAGTCCACATTGTGAAGCCGCCAAATAACCAGATCGGACACAATTAAGCAAAGCTCCAATAAATTAATTTTAACTTGATCAGCTCTTGACCAATCAAATAATTTATTAATTCCGTTCTATTATACTAAAAGAACGAAATTTCACTCTCAATTTAATTGAAATTACTGAAGTTGAGTAATCAATAATTATATCCTCCGACTTATCATTCTTACTTACTACCCTCGTCGATCATTTGAGATATTTAGAACAGGGTTAAAATTGACCAAAGTACCATTTTCCAAATATACATAAATTTTCAAATCTTATTTTTTATTTGACAGTTTCATGTGATCACATCATAGCTTTAATTCGACAACAAAGCCGAATTATTGAACTCGGATTTAACTATCCATTATAAACTCCATTGGGATCATGATTGTGCATGTTAAATAGGTGACGAATTCCATTTTGCGAATATATGTTTCCCATTATTTCACCTTAATCCCAAGATATCAAGATATTCATCAGCAATTCAATCTCACCCAATGATACCTCAACGAACTTCGGATTATTAACTAGAGTTCATTACCCACTTAGGATTAAGGTTTTATGCATGATCGTCAGGTGAATTAAACTCCACGTGGTCCAGTCCAATACATCCAAACGTACTCTCAATCTTATTGTCGAACTCAAAAATGAACTTGAATAAAGTTGGGACAATCTTATCAAAATAAAGTGTTCATCTTTATTTACCGAATGTGGACTATTAAATTTTAAATTGCATTTATAATCGAATCTTTCTGAACTAAACAACTTAAGCACTCGATTTATAATATCAAAACGATATACGAACAAACACAAGTTCAAATTAATAATTCGTTATTTTATTCCAGAATGCCGTAAATACAAATTTACTCGTTGGGCATTTATAATCTAACAATCGTGTCGTACCCCCAGCCATTGGACATCGACTCTTACACGGTCAAGAATACAAACAAGTACAACTGGATTTACAAATTGAGAGAAGCCAAGAATTCTTATTATTTCTCATATAGATGAATCCAATGCCCTTACACCCCGCCTATTGCAATAATTCTTGCTGAGAAGAACGTTTGTGTAGGTATAAATTCGACCCAGAAAATAATGGGTTACTCCTACATTTTTCTTACAATGCTCGAAGCTCTCGGCTGAGTAGTAGGAGCTGATCATGGGGATAAACTATAAAGGTTCATGGCTGCCCTGTGAACTGTTGTCGTAGTATGTTTTGTTTGACTTATTGGACTTCCTCCTTACAACAATTATCCAAGTAATCACCTCCAGCAGTAGAGCATTCCCTCCCAACATTATAATCAGAAAAGTATATGCATTTCTCCATTTCTGTTCAGGATTTAATATGTCTAAACCTTTGAACACATTGATTATGCCAAGGACGAGGATTGTATAGCCAATTCCATGATGATATATGTTCCAGAAAAACCGATATTTATGGTCCTTCCCCGGCCTCAAGAATAGCGCGAAAATCTATTAAAAATGAAACAAACAATATGCACATATCAGAAAATTTCCAAACTGTAAACAAGGAATTGTTGCCATTTCTACCTGTAAAAATGCACAATAAAAAATAAAATAAACGATTTAACATATAACCTGAGGAAATTACCTGCACTGTCGCAAGAAAGAATAGGGAAATCCCAATAGTACCATGGTAAGTATATTGAACACCCTTTGATTCGCTTCCAAGCTTAAGACCGGTTGCCCAACCAGCAACCCCGATTACGTAGGCAGATACTTGGCAGATAACATGAATATAAAACCATGCTGGATCTGCAGATGGAAAAGTCTTCAGGTACCTTGCCACTATGATCCCAAGAGGAAACATAATCCCCCAACTCGATACATTTAGTATCCCATGAATCTGAAGCAAAAATCACCAAAAGTATTATATTTTGAAGGCTTCTCTTATTGGCAAACATTAGACAAAATTTCATCAGAAGAAAGTAACAATTATATAATGAAAACTTGAATATAAATAGAAAGATAGGTTCCATTCATAACTATTTATAACTCTGAAAATGATAAGAAAAAGGAGACTTACATTCTTTTTCTTGGTTCGAGATTCACTAATGCCTCCACCTTTTCCTTTCAACAAATCAAGGCTCCCTTTGGAGTTCAAATTCTCCGGCTGGAATCCATGTTTATCTGGCACATCTTTCGTAACAGAAGATCCCACCTGCCATACGTGGTTCACCATAGTCTTGCCATTGGCCGGCAGCACCAAGGTGGCGAACAGTCTGATCATACCGCCAGAGCTCTCAGCCGATGACTCCTTAACATCGTACCAAACCCTGGACTCCATCAACGGACCGTAAGATTTGATGTTATAAGTCTTGACGGTCATTGCACCTTTGGAGTCTCTGAAAGCGATAAGGGCCTGAGCCCCCACCATCCCAGTACCCGTTGGATTGATGGCCCATGAAATCCAACCATCAGGGCTAGCCGGAGGGGCGATGAAGGCCACAGAGAGTGTCGAATTTGCCGGTTCATAGGTCCAGTGGAGGTAGGAATTGAGAGAATGGAGGTCGTTACAGAAAGTGTAAAGCTTTTTATTGGTGAAGGTCTGTGAGTTACAGGTAGCAGAATACGACGGTGAGATTAGAGAAAATGCTATGAGGAGGAGAGTAATCGCATGCACGGAGACCGCCATGAATGGAAAGGTAAGAGAGGATAATTTGCGCTTCTGCCCCCGTGCAACGGCCCAAAGATTTTTGTAAATTGGACGATATATATGGTATGAAGGAGAAAGGTACCGATGGAGAGTGGCGGATAAAAGTTTCCGGCATATTGGGCGATATATGGAGCTAATAAGGAGGATGGCCAAAGGAGATTGACTGACGGAGAGAAGTTGGCGGGGGGTTTTTAGAGCATGATTTGAGGTTTTGTTTGGTGGAGGAAAATAGTCAAAAGTGAAAATCCAACTGACAGAAAATGGAGGGGAAATTGGTTGGTTAGGAGTTGATTGTCGGAATTGGCAAGGATTTGA